GGTCTTAGTTGCAGCATGAGGGATCTTCGTTGCCGTGTGCGGGATCCTCATTGCAGCATGCGAGATCTTTTAGTTGCAGCATGCATGATCTTTTTAGTTGCACATGCAGGATCTTTAGTTGCAGCATGCGTGAACTTTTAGTTGTGGCATGCGGGATCTTTTAGTTGCAGCATGCAGGATCTTTAGTTGCAGCATGCGGAATCTTTAGTTGCAGCATGAGAACTCTTAGTTGTGGCATATGGGATCTAGTTCCCTGGCCAGGGATAGAACCCGGGTCCCCTGCATTGGGAGTGTGGAGTGTTAGCCACTGGACCACCAAGGAAGTCCCTGAATACTTTAAATGAATGTAACGTTTAAGAGTAGTAACATTTGGGGATGCTATGAATTCTCAACATTCCTACAGAATGAAACAAATATAGTCATTCCTCAAATATATGCCGATCTCTGTGGTTTGCAAAATTTTCAAAGGTTTCACCTACATATTCATAATGGATTCTTTGCAGAACACATCAGTCTACATCACTGCATCTTTATCATTTTAGGAATAGGTACATTGAAGAAGAAATCTGTGCTTTCCTTGCAGGTATTGAGCTAGTGGAACATTTGCTATATTAAAATAATTTTGTATTGTATTTGATTGACATTCAACTTTAAGTTAATTATACCTCACCTCCTACTCCAATATAGAATGTAATACTTTAGACCTTTCATCATTAGTTTAGCATAAACTAAGAAAAATTTTCTTTTGATGCTATTTACTTACTTGGGCTAGACTTGATTTATCTGAATCATTACACTCACTCTTTTTTTTTTTAAACATCTTTATTGGAGTATAATTGCTTTACAATCGTGTGTTAGTTTCTGCTTTATAACAAAGTGAATCAGTTATACATATACACATGTTCCCATATCTCTTCCCTCCTGCGTCTCCCTCCCTCCCACCCTCCCTGTCCCACTACAATAAACATGGCTGATTTGGTAAAAAGAAAAAGCATAAAAACTGTTTTTGTATGAGATAAAAATTCATTATTGCTATCAACCTTCTAAAATAGGTTTTGAAAGTAAAATTAATGGAAACATTCAATTTAAGCATCCGTTTATTAGAAGTTGTAAGTTAACTGAATTTATTAGATGCAGTTTTACAGCGGTTGCAGTCAGAATTTCAAAGAAAGCAACTTTCCCTGAGAGTTTGTCATGGCCTGTTGGTGAGCAATGTGTGGCACAAGTATAATCACTCTCAGTGGTGACAGGAGGGTAGGGCAAAGGTCCTCACTTAGAGCTGATCCAGTAGAAAATATGCCAACACAGCATGAACTCCATGTGGTAACTGGTCACTGAGAAGACCCTCCGCGGAAGAAAATTGAACAGGATGGTCACCAACAAGGCATCTTTGCCTTAAGTTTTGCTAATGTTGCTTGTCTGGGAGAAAGGTGGTTATGTAAATAAAAACAGCGAACTAGAGCCAAACAACAACAGAAAACAAAAAAACAGCCCATAGCACACTCTCAGGGAAAGTTGCTTTTGAAATTCTGACTGCAACCACTATAAAACCGCATCTAATAAATTCAGTTAAAACTTTTAATAAATAGATGTTTAAATTGAATTTGTTTCCATTACCATTAATTTTCAAAGCCTGTTATAGAAAATCATATTTGTACTTGACTCTGGAATCAGTGCCCTGCATTTCCCTTCCCCATGTCCATGTGTACCAACATTGAGGTACTCCGCTATAAATGCTATCCTTCTGATTTGGGAATAAAGCAGAATCACTGACAACCAGCTTTTCCTCTGCTTAGCCTTTTATTAGCCAGGTACTAGGAAATGTTTAAGACATAGCCCTACCCTTGAGGAGTTCATAGTCTTGTATAGAAACTGATGAAGAATTAGGATGTAATGAATGTGATTAGTGTAGATTTTTCTGTTTGAAGTATTGGAACTATTTACCTGTTTTTGGGTCTTTTGTGCAAAATCGTTTGTAGAAGGGAAGGAGCAGAGAGGATGACAGAATCTCTGTATTTAAAAAAATGGACACACACGCACACCCCCCCCACTGCCACCAGATGGCAACGTGATATTTGGAGGATTTTTTCTAAAATTCAGGGATCACTGCCTTGTTTCAGGATCATTTAGATTAGTACTTTCTCCTGCCACCTAGGCTTTTAATCTCTTAGTGTGGAAACTGATTTTAGTTTTTGGTTCACTTATTTGCCTTACTAATTGTATCAAGCATATGAAACCCTGATAAATCAAACTCTGTGTAGCAAATAATATGTTTTTGATGAGCTGTTTTGTTTTTTCACTGTTACGACAGTACCAACTTACATCTGAAGTCCAAAGCCAGCATTTGCTCATTCTGAGGTGGGACTGGTGAGCATCCATAAGTGGCATGGCTATTTGGGAGTACTTTTGGTTGGGACACTGAAGCCAGGGCTCCAGAGAATATCCCCCTGCTAAACAGGTTATAAAAGGATGTTATTCTTTTTAATAAGATAGTACAAATAATTCCTCTTGAAAAGTATCTATTACCTCACCCTGAGAAGTGTTTGACTTGGATAAGCCACTGTTAATTCTAGTCTTTTAACGTAACTGAACATGTTAAAGTGATTTAGGCCACAGGAGATTTTATGGCTATTAGAAACTATTTGGCTGCAAATATAATATGAATAAAATAATAAATGTTTTTTATTTTGATTAAACCGATTTATATAGTTTTTTTCTGGAATGAATCATAATACATTTGTCTTCCACAAAATTTTGTAATGTAGATAATATGTTAACTCCCACTTTTGACCTCATAATTCATGTTTTTATTGTTTGTAGGCCAGTGAGAAGAATTCCTCATTATCAAATTCTCATCAACAAGTCTGACAGAATTTGCGTCTCCTAAACCTACATTTCCAAGGAGGTCATAACAATATTTATGGAATATGAGGCACAGAATCTTAAGTTAAAAAATATTTTTCCAGGTCTCATTTGCATTGAACTCAAATTAACTGTCAAATAAGAATACTGATATAAGTAAGGTAAATACTACAAAAAATGTAATCTTTAGCATGTAGCTGAATGGAATCCTAAATTTTATCAGTAATATTCAGAAACCTTATTTTAATAGTACTTCCTTCTAAAAAGGAGCTTGGAACATAGTGGGTTTGTTTCAAATATCCTAATTAGAAAGAAATTTTCTTTCAGAAAACAGCAATTGCAATTTTTTGCTTTCTTGAAAGATTTTCTTTAAAAAGGGGTTCAGAAGAAAGAAATTGTCAGGATTAAGGATTAAGTTCGGGATAGGTTTATTCTAGCAGGCTTTGTGGCACAGGTCCCCTAAGTAATTCATTGTGATACTCCAGTATCTGCCATGTGTCAGAAATTAACTTGCCATTAACTGACAACTAAATTTGATACCCTTAGTCTTAAAGTACACAGGATGTCATACATAAACCAGTCCAATCTTTGAAGGATTACTTCTCTTAGATGCTCTACAGAATTGTAGGACTGTCCATTTTATAGGATTTTTTTTTTGAGGCAACATCTTTAAAAATGCCTGTAAATTCTAAAAAGTGTTTGCTAAGTTAAAATTTGTTTTTAGGTATTTATTGCTAAGTTGAAAACCTTCTTTACCAAATGTGATGGAACCAAAGACACAACGAAGCCATGGCTAAGAAAAATCAGCCCCCGTGATTAAATTTTATTGAGTATGAACAATTTTTTTCTTGATGTACAGACTCAATAGTACTTTTCTACCCAACTGGATAAATAAAAGCTAAAATATAATTTATTTAACTCTTTTTGGAAATAAAACTTCAACATACCTTAAACTGGTTTTCTGATAAGTTTATTTTTAATATGACTATTTAAAAATTCATCTTAATGATAGATTTGGAAAAGCCAACTTTTACTTGGGTTGACAATAATCAAAGAATGCAGCTGGTATAGTGGCTACCATTTACCAAGTAACTGCTATGTGCTAGGCATTATTCTTGTGGTCTTACAGTTATCAACTTTAATCCTTATAGTAACACTGCAGGGTAGGTATTATTAGCCTCATTTCATTGGTGAGGAAAGAGAAGCTTAAAGAAATTAAAGTGCCTTGCCAAGTTTCTATAACCAGTACATTGCTCAGCAGATATTTGAGAGCCTACTCTGCGTTGGCCCTGTCACTATGCTAAGACTGAGAATGCAGCTGTGAATGAGAAGGACAAAATCTCCATTCCAAAGGAGCTTACATTCTAGTAGTAAAATCAGGATTTTAAAATAGCGGTGTTGGATTCTAAAATTTTTCTTCTTAGCTTCCACACTCCTTCCCACCAAGGATACTACAGAAGAGATAGATTAAGCGGTTTTAGTGCCACTTAAGAAAGTGGGTGGGGATGAAAACTACATACTGGAATACGTTATAGGAAAGAAACATTGGTATATGAGTGTCAAGCTCTATCAAAGGAAAAACCCTAGGGCTTAGCTGTATGGCAGGGAATGGAAAGCCTGTGCTGCATAACAGACTTGGCTTAGGTAGACACACCTGCAGATGGTGTATAATGCAATAGCAATGATATGTACTTGCTCAGATAGCCTTAAGGATCAGTATTTTCTCAGTGTATGGCCCTGCACTGTCCAACACGGTAGCCATTACCTACTTATGGCTTTCGAGTCCTTGAAGTGTGGCTAGTGCAACTAAGGAACTGAATTTTAAATTAAAAAAACATTTTTAATTTAAAAACTGACACGTGATCCAGTTACTAGATCTTTCAAGAATGTCTGGAACAACTGGGTGTGTGAATCTATTTTTTCCACCTATATTTTAAGAAACTTAAATACAGATCAAGTATTTCTGATGAAAATTTAGCATCTGAATTGAGATGTGCTGTAATATAAAATACACACTGGATTTTGAAAACTTAGTATAAAAAAGAATATACAATATCCATTAATTATTTTAAGAATAATTACATGCTGAAATGATAATATTTTGGATATACTGGGTTAAATAAAATATTAAAATTAGCTTCAACTGTTTTTCACTTTTTAAAAAATGTATCTACTAGGAAATTTTAAATTACATATATGGATTGCATTATATATATTTGTACTGGAGAGTGCTGGTATAATCAAAGGAGCCCTAGTGAAAAGAGTCTGGTCCATATATTATTTTTATTTCTGTCATCAAAATATTTTCTTAGTATATCTCATTACCCTTTTATCAAAAGTTATGTATTGCTCATCATTCTTTCTATGAATGTTAAGAATCATGTTAATAACTGTGTCAATATTTTGTCCTGTAGTAGGAATATAAAATTTACACATACACTTATATGAACTGTCACTATGCAAGTGTGCACATATAACACATTTATTCCCAAAGAGTATTTCCCATAGTAAGTTTTCAAAAACAGAAAGTAAACATAAGTATTCTGTGGAACTATATTCAAGGATTGACAGGCTTGGGGGAGAAACACTTTATATACTACACAATATACATATATTCAGGACAAAAGCAAACATTATAAAAAGTATAAAAATAGACAAAAAGATACAAACACAGTATATTTTGGTCAGAATTTCAGATATGTTTTTTTTTCTTCTCTCTCCCCTTTACTTCAAAAGTTATAAATACTTTGGAAGCAGCATGTATTGTTGCACTTTTGATTTTTTGTTGTACAGTTAACGAACCTGAGAGTCTGGATGACTGGTGATCATCTATTTGGCCTTCCCATTCTTTCATTTCTTCTTCTTTGATTAATAAAGGTTTTCCTAGAGTTTGGCCAACAAGATTACAGACTTCTTGAGCTTTGCGCCATGCATTTTCTACAGCAACGACACAGGCTTGCCGTCTTAGGAATTAAATGCAGAGATTATTAATACGACAGTCAACAAACCGCAGCACTGAATAGTTTTGTTTAATTGGTTGATAATTAATTTAAAGACGTGCTTAACTTACCGAAGATTCTCAATAGAACCTGGAGTATGATAGAACTGGGGTTGGCTGATGACAACAGCGCTATCTAGCTTTTCAACAAGAAAGTTACAAATATTTTGCATTTTTCCAAATTCAGTAAATGTAATGCAGACCTATAAATGAAATGACAATTGAAATTATTTTCATGTCTGATGCTTTATTTCAAATCTTTCTCTAAATGTGAGTTAAAAAAAGTAAAGCCAGGTTACAATGAGGTCATTTTATAGTATGTAACAGATATGAAAGACCTACTTGGTACTTATAACAAAATTTTGTTATTAAATTTATTTTTGCTTATTAATTTTGTAATTTATCTAATGTTGACTTGAACATTTAAAACTTCATTTTAAATCAGTCAGAGACTTTTTATGAAAGAGAACTGGAGGGTTTCCCCTTCAACTTTATTATTCAGCTAAATTCTAACCCTGATAAATGTTTCATGACTCTTTAGTCATCTATGCCATTAGTTAGCTTCCTGATTAGCGGTAATTACTTCATACTTCACTGCTGTCATTTGAGGTATGTTTCTTCTTCCAAAAGTTATTTTCAGATCTATATGCAGAAGTTCATCTCTTTCACTATGTCCTCTGCCTTTAAATATGTGGAAGCAGCAAAGAGAAAGAGAGGGATGAGGTAACCTCCTGAGTCATCTTATACACTGAAGAACAGTTGCCTTTAATCATAAATGTTATCCAGGGAAGACTGATGTTCTATCTGGTTTCAATACTAAGTGAATAATGTCTTTTATAATCAGTTTGTCAATTTCTTTTTTTTTTTTTTTTTAAAGCTGACTGGGATTTTGAGTGGGATTGCAATGACTCTAAATATAGATTAAGGAAGACCTGATACCTTAATGATACTGAGTCTTCCAAATCAGGAACAAGGTATGTTTCTTCATTTATTTAGGTCTTCTTTAATTTCTCTTAGCAATATTTTGTAGTTTTCAGCATACACAGTTAAAAGATCAGATTTATCCCTAGGTATGTTATATTTTTGATGTTTATTACCATTAGATTTTCTACATTGATGGTCATGCTGTCCATGAATAAAGACAGTTTACTTCTTACTTTCCAGTATGGATGCCTTTTATTTCTTTTTCATGCCTCAGTGCACTGGCTAGAACTTCAAGTACAATGTGGGATAGAAGTTGTGAGAGTAGATACGTTTGTCTTGTTCCTGATCTTAGGCACAAAGCAATCAGTGTTTCATCAATAAATATGATGGTAACTGTAGATTTTTCATAGGTTCCCTTCGTCATTTTGAGGAAGTTTCCTACTATTTCTAGTTTGCTGAGAATTTTTATTAGGAATGGATGTTGGACTTTGTTAAATGTTTTTCTTCATCTACTGAGATCATCATATGTTTCTTTCTTGTTAATATGATAAACTAGATTGACCAGTTTTTGAATGTTGAACCAACCTTTTATTCCAGGGATGAACCATACTTGGTCATTATATATTATCCTTTTTATATATCACTGGATTTGATTTGCTAAAGTTTTGTTTATAATTTCTGCACATAAGTTTATGATGGACACTGGTCTGTAGTTTTCTTTGCTTGTAATGTCCCCCGCCCTTCCCCCCTCCCCCACCGGTTTTGTTATCTTCTGGTTCCAAATAATGAGTTGGAAAGCATTCCAGCTTCTTCATTTTCTGGAAAGGTTTGTACAGAATTGGCATAAATTCTCCCTTAAATGTATGCACTTTTTAATTTCTCTTTTAACTTCTCCTTTGACCCATGGGTTATTGAGAAGTATGTTATTTAAATTTCAAATATTTCAGTTCTATCATTTTTGCTTTAAGTATTTTGAAGCTTTAATATTAAATGTATAAGTGTTTAAGACTGTTATAGTCTTGATTGACCCATTTATCATTATAAAATCATCTTTATCTGGGTAATACTCTTTGCTTTGAAATCTACTCTGTCTGATATTATCATAGCCACTACAACTTTCTTTTGGTTATTGTTAGCATGGTATATCTTTATGCACCCCTTCGATTTTTTTTTTTTTTTTTGCAGTACGTGGGCCTCTCACTGTTGTGGCCTCTCCCGTTGCGGAGCACAGGCTCCGGATGTGCAGGCCCAGCGGCCATGGCTCACGGGCCCAGCCGCTCCGCGGCATGTGGGATCTTCCCGGACCAGGGCACGAACCCGTGTCCCCTGCATTGGCAGGCAGACTCTCAACCACTGCGCCACCAGGGAAGCCCTGGTTTTTTTTAAAGGCAGGTTTATTAAGGCATAACTTATAGAGAGCAAAATACACTCCTTTTAGTATACGTTCTATGAATTTTGACAGATGCATTTACTCATGTAGCTACCATTATGATCAGTCCCATCAACTTCCTCAAATTCCCCTGTGCTCCCCACATCCCAGCCCCTGAAAGCCACAGATCTGTTTTTTTTTAAATAGTTGCAATTAATTTTTTTAATTTAATTTTTTATTTTTTGGACAATTTAAAAGGTTACTTTCCATTTACAGTTACTACAAAATATTGGCTCTATTCCTTGTGTTGTAAGTCTATGTCCTTGAGCCTATCTTATACCCAATAGTCTGTACCTTCCACTCTCCCACTCCTATATTGCCTCTGCCCCCCAACACTGCTAACCATTAGTTTGTTCTCTATATCTGTGAGTCTGCTTCTTTTTTGTTTTATTCACTAGCTTTTTATATTTTTTAGACTTCACATGTAAGTGATATACAGTATGTCTTTCTTTGTCTGACTTATTTCACTTAGCATAATGCCCTCCAAGTCCATCCATGTTGCTGCAAATGGCAAAATTTCATTCTTTTTTATGGCTCAGCAGTATTCCATTGTGTACACACACACACACACACACACACACACACACACACACACATACACATACACATATATATATACACCATAGCTTCTTTATTCACTCATCTGTTGATGGACACTTAGGTTGCTTCCGTATCTTGGCAGTTACAAATAATGCTGGATGAACACTGGGATGCATGTATCTTTTTGAATTAGTGTTTTTGTTTTTTCCAGATATATACCCAGGAGTGGAACTGCTAGGTAATATGGTAGTTTTATCATTTGCAAATATTTTCTCCCATTCAGTAGGTTGTCTTTTCATTTTGTCAATGGTTACCTTTGCTGTGCAAAAGCTTTTAAGTTTAATTTGGTCTCATTTGTTTATTTTTACCTTTATTTCCTTTACTTTAGGAGACGGATCAAAAAATATTGCTGTGATTTATGTCAAAGAGTTTTCTGCCTATGTTTTCCTCTAGGAGTTTTATGCTATCCAGTCCTACATTTAGGTCTTTAATCAATTTTGAGTTTATTTTTGTACATGGCGTTAGAGAATGTTCTAATTTCATTCTTTTATATGTAGCTGCCAGTTTTCCCAGCACCACTTATTGAAGAGACTGTCTTTTTTCCACTGTATATTTTTGCCTCCTTTGTTGTAGGTTAATTGACTATAAGTGCAGGGTTAATTTCTGGGCTGTCTATCCTGTTTCATGGATGTGTCTGTTTTTGTGCCAGAGCCATACTATTTTGATTACTGTAGCTTTGTAGTATAGTCTGAAGTCAGGGAGCATGATTCCTCCAGCTCTGTTCCTCATTCTTAAGATTGTTTTGGCTATTAGGGATCTTCTGTGTTTCCATACAAATTTTAAAATTATTTGTTCTAGTTCTGTGAAAAACGCCATTGGTATCCTGATAGGGATTGCATTGAATCTGTAGATTGCCTTGGGTAGTACAGTCATTTTCACAATATTGATTCTTCCAATTCAAGAACAGAGTATAGGTGTTTTTCCTCCTTAGGTAGATTTATTCCTAGGTATTTTATTCTTTTTGATGAGATGGTAAATAGGACTGTTTCCTTAATTCCCCTTTCTGATATGTCATTGTTAGTGTATAGAAATGCAACAGATTTCTGTGTATTAATTTTGTATCCTGTAACTTTACTAAATTAATTGATGAACTCTAGTAGTTTTCTGATGGCATCTTTAGGATTTTCTATGTATAGTATCATGTCATCTGCAAACAGTGACAGTTTTACTTCCTCCTTTCCAACATGGATTCCTTTTATTTCTTTATCTTCTCTGATTGCTGTGGCTAGGGCTTCCAAAACTATGTTGAATAAAAGTGACAAGAGTGGACGTCCTTGTCTTACTCCTGATCTTAGAGGAAATGTTTTCATCTTTTCACTGTTGAGAATGATGTTAGTGGTGGGTTTGTCATATATGGCCTTTATCATGTTGAGGTATGTTTCCTCTATGCCTGCTTTCTGGAGGGTTTTTAATATAAATGGATGTTGAATTTTATCAAAAGCTTTTCCTGCACCTATTGAGATGATTATGTGGGTTTTATTCTCCAATTCGTTAATGTGGTGTGTCACATGGATTGATTTGCAGATATTGAAAAATCCTTGCATCCCTGGGATAAATTCCACTTGATCATGGTATATGATCTTTTTGATGTACTGTTGGATTCGGTTTGCTAATGTTTTGTTGGGGATTTTTGAATTTATGTTAATTAGTGATATTGGCCTGTAATTTTCTTTTTTTGTGTGTGATATCTTTGTCTGGTTTTGGTATCAGAGTGATGCTAGCCTCACAGAATGAGTTCCGAAGTGTTCACTCCTCTGCAATTTTTTGGAATAGTTTCAGAGGACAGGTGTTAACTCTTCTCTAAATGTTTGGTAGAATTCACCTGTGAAGCCACCTGGTCCTGGACTTTTGTTTGTTGTGAGTTTTAAAATTACTGATTCAAGCTCGTTACTGTAATTGGTCTGTTTATATTTTCTATTTCTTCCTGGTTCAGTCTTAGGAGATTGTGCCTTTCTAAGAATTTGTCCATTTCTTCTAGGTTGTCCATTTTATTGGCATATAGTTGTTCACAGTAGTCTCTTATGATCCTTTGTATTTCTGTGGTATCAGTTGTAACTTCTTTTTCATTTCTGATTTTGATTTGGGCCCTCTCCTTTCTTTTCTTGATGAGTGTGGCTAAAGGTTTATCAATTTTATTTATTTTTTCAAAGAACCAGCTTTTAGTTTCATTGATCTTTTCTATTGTTTTCTTCATTTCTATTTCATTTATTCCTGCTCTGATCTTTGTGATTTCTTTCCTTCTACTAACTA